GTTATGGGTAGTTAGAGTTAGTTATGGGTAGTTGGGGTTAGTTATGGGTAGTTGGGGTTAGTTCTGACACCGAGCAGCGGTCCGTCGGTAAAAGTCGGTGGTCACAAACGAACATGGATTAAAACACACACTCCCCCCGCTGTGTTAACCGGAGAGCCGCCGGGACCGGACCACCCGTCCCCGGTGAGCGCAGCGTCCCGGTCCCGGCCGCTCCAAGTTTTCGGAACCCCGTAACGGGCAGTCCGGTACCTTCGTAGCAGAGGATGCCGATGTTGTTGTTCATCTTGTCCAGGTACTGGTAGTTCAACAGGTCCATTTTCGTTAGTAGCATTTATTGAGCTTTACTTTTCAAAAAAAGAAAGAAAAAAAAAGACCAGCTTTTTCCTTCTGCTCTCAGCGGCAGCTGCAGGCCCAGCCTCCAACTTTACTGGTCCGAACCCCGACGGCAGAACTACCCAACAAGTTCTCGCGGTAATTATTAATTAGTTTGGAGACTTTTTTTTTTTTTGAAGTGCGGGTATAGCGGTGATAAAGAGCAAACAAACACAGAGTGGCGTCAGTTGTCCTCACAGCCAGCTGTAAGTCGACTGCCCTGACACGCAGCCTGCGATCCCTATGAGCCTGCTGAGAGGGGCGCACTGGGCATGCGCACTACGGCGCCTCTGCTGCTGGGGGGGGGGCGCATTGGGCATGCGCACTACGACTCCTCTGCTGCAGAGAGGGGCGCACTGGGCATGCGCAGTACGGCTCCTTTTCTGGTGAGGGAGGCGCACTGGGCATGCGCACTACGGCGCCTCTGCTGCTGAGAGGGGCGCACTGGGCATGCGCACTACGGTTCCTCTGCTGCTGAGGGGGCGCACTGGGCATGCGCACTACGGCTCCTGTGCTGCTGAGGAGGGCGCATTGGGCATGCTCAGTAAATCCCTGGAGAGCCTCAAATATCAGAGATGTTTTACTCTCCAAACGCATCCACACAGAACCAGACAATCCCCAGTGGGCCCGGCAGTCCCCTGTGCTGCAGTTCTGCCAGAGATTCTCATCAAGTCCCAGCAGGAACATAACGGTGATAGCTGAGGATATGAAAGTTGCCATAGAAGTAGATAAAACAGCCATAAGCTGATCAGCGACTCTATGAAATGTGACGTGTCTGTATGGGACAGTGCAGGCAGACAGCACGGACCGAGGACGTCTCCAACCAATCCACACTCATATCAGACAGCATATACGACTAACAAACTTTATACTTTCCTTTCTTTCCTCTCCAGAGGGCTCCCAGCCATGAACATTCACACTGGGATGATGTTGTTAGAGCAGATTCAACAGTCCACATAGTTTACATGTTACATGCTGAAGATTTTCTGTGGCTGCTTCACACACAGCAGGACCAGCAGCCTCACTTCCACAGAGGTCCTCTCCTGCCCCCTGGTGCCTGACATGGGCTCTACCGCACTTCTCTTTCCTTCAGTTCAAGACGCTGATGTCAAAAAAGCAGGATGCAAATGGGATGAAAAGAGGAAACAGCCCCCATCCCCACAGATGAGCAGAATGTGAGTGTTGCTGTGTGGAGAGCAGCTTCCTCTGGGGTCTGAGGGAACCATGAGCAGGCTGTGGTGAGCTTACCCACAAACACAGGCCAAGAAAAGAGACGCATCATCTGGAGACGTCACGGTGACGCCATGAGAAAGCTTTAACAACAAGAGAGTTCAACAGAGCTAATGCAGAAGGAAGGAACACGTTAAACACAGGTGGGCTTGCTTTCACGTCCTCATGCAGGTGAGACGTCCCAGCATTCATCACTCCATGTTCAAACTGAAATGATGGAGGATTCACTGACCTCTGGTGCTGCAAAGGCCTCTCACAACGTCTGCTGCTAACATCTAACACTGACCACAGGCCGGTTAACTACACACACACACACACACAGACACACACACAGACACACACACAGACACACACACACACACACCTCCCCCATTGTTTTTTGTGCACACACATGCACACAAAGGCCTCTCCCCTCCTCCCTCTGGGCCTCCCCCTCAAACGGCGCTCAGGACGAAGGAGCAGTCCTCGTCTCATTGGACGGCCATTGTTCCAGGCTGAGTTCAGACAGAGTCCATTCAGAGCTGCTGCTGCTGCAGGTTACGTCTCACTCAAAGGCTTCAGCTCCAGGCAGGAAGCCTGAGGCCTGGAGCTGCTGCTAGTGTGGAACAACATACATAAAGTTGTAGCTTGAATTTAAAATCCAAGTGGTGAAGGCTTTAGAAAGTTTAAGATTGTTCTGTGTCACAACTTTTCACAAACTACTGCACTGCTTAAAGCCAACCAGCTGGAATAGGAAAGCTGGGGACAAGCTGGTGCTCCCCCTGACCCGAACCCGCTGGCCAACACATGATGGATGTGCTGGATTTACTGACACAATAGATTTCTTCTTTATTCAGACATGGCAGTGTCTGCAGGTAGCAGATGAAGATCATATCTCACCACTGGCTGGCTGTTGGCCTTTTATGAGGATCCATCCAGAAATTCTGGGGTCTATCATGTACACTCGCAGGGGGCGGAGCCTATCCCAGCTGACTCAGGGTGAAGGCAGGTTCACCTGGACAGGTAACCAGTCTATCACAGGGCTACACTTAGAGACAGACAACCAAGCACACTCACATTCACACCTACGGACAATTTACAATCACCAATTAACCTCAGCATGTTTCTGGACTGTGGGAGGAAGCCGGAGAACCCGGAGAGAACCCACGCTGCACGGGGAGAACATGGAGACTCCACGCAGGAAGATCCCGGGTGTCCTCACCGGGACGCCAACCAGCGACCTTCTAGCTGTGAGGCCGCGGTGCTAACCACTGAACCACCTGCAGCCTGTAATTCTCAAGTCAAAAACCAGAAATGTGAAACTCATGGCGGCCCTGGAGGAACACGAAGGTCGGCTTCATCCTCCAGAGACTACAGGGAAGGTTTGCTTGTGTCTACACTTCAGGTACATTATTAACAAAAAGCAGTTTTTACAGTCCTGATGAACTCTCACAGGTGGTGGCGCCGGTGAGTCAGACAAGAGAACAAATGGATGTTGAGTGCAGCAGCTCTATCAGACCCATGATGAGTCCTTGACAGTGTGCTGAGGCAGCTCGATGCAGCTATTCACAGGCAGAAGAAGACTGAATGACTCCACAGAATCTTCTTGGACTATTCAGACTGTCAAAGGCTCTGAAGCGCTCTGGACGCTGACTGTCTGTCTCCTATAGTGAATGAGACACAAGGATTCGTCCAAGCTTTCCCTCTGTGCTGTACTTGTGCTTCTAGAACATCTTTATTTTTAACAATCACAGCCTCTGCAGAGTGTTTGTGCTTCCTGTGGACATGAATGTGTCTCCTTATGAACAGCAGGGAGACAGGTGTGTGTCTGTGGCTGCTACCTGTACACAGACACACACCTGTCTGGCACTTATCACACAACTCTGACACTGAACTTATTACAGCAAATGGCCTCTCTAACACAGTGTCTTTGTTCCGGCCTGGCGTGCTGTGAGATGAATAAGCATGCTAAGAGATTACTGGTTACACAACAAGTTGGTGAAATCCCACCTCTTCCTTCCATAGGGACAGGCTGTGACACAGAGCTCAGCCTGCTGAGGAAACAACCTTTCCTCCTCAGCGTTTCCACAGCCGGCTGGACTCAGACGTGTCCGGAGCTCGCTGTGAGCTGTGGCCTGACAACTACACACAGTTTCACCAATGAGTGACGAGCTGGTTTATATTATTCTTTGTCCTTGGAAGTTGCTTTTAGAGTTAGATGTTAGTGGTCAGGTTTGAATGATGCTCAGTAATAATGAACACCAGTCAGAGGATCCATTAGGACGCCGTCTTGCATGTAGGCGGCCAGCACACAGCCAGTCTTCCTGCTTTCATGTCGTTTCCCCCTTTACTTCCTGCATGCTTATTTATTTATCTAATCTACGAGGACAAGGCGCTGCCAGACCTACTTACTCTCCTGCAGTGTTGGGTGTCTCTGAACAGGTCCGGGCTTCTCCAGGGGGAGGGTGTGTCTGGATAACAACGCTGCACAGCCAGGTGGTGATTCATCCCGATGCTCCGCTGTTGTGACACAAACACTGGCAGCACGACAGGCCCAGCGATGATGGAAGAGCGTTTAAAAAGCATTGACCTCGATGTGCCTCGCTCATCTTTTCTTGATTTCGGTCTGCTTCATCATCTGTCACAGAACCATCTTCATGCCTTCCTAAAAATGGGTTAGTTGGAGATTTCCCAAACCCGTCGTACGCTCGTCTGCGTAGCAAAAGTGAAAACATGATGTGAACAGGCTGAAGTGGAGGAACGAGTCTCACGTCGCAGAGATCAACGGTCAGATCCTTGATTACTTTAGTGCTCTGTTGAAATACCAGCACAGGATTGGCGGCTGTGTTTACACGGTGACATAATGGCTCCAAGACGCTGATCCCTCAGAATGTGGTATCAGGGTGGTTTCCTTTCTACCTGGTTTCCAAAACCTTCAGGCCATCAATGGCTGGATTACATGTATAATGTCTACAAACACCTGACAGACCTGTTTTTCAACTTATTCCACCAGTTGTACAGAATGCTGGTACACCGCAGCTGCTACCATCTGTTCTATAGAGATTATTCCAGTTTTTTAATTAAACCGTTGCCTCTCAGCAGACACTAGCGAACACACACCAGTTCAGTTTTCTGTGAATCATGTTACAAAGCATTTGGGGCGACAACACGCCTTTACAGAAGGTTTCTGGGAGTATGTGGGTGAACAGATCCTCAACAGACTCTCACAAAGGAGGAAATATCAGGTTGCTGCACTGAAACAATGACAACAACAGTTAACTGTGTGGAAGTGCAGCTGTTCTGTCATTTCCCACCTTTGTGCTCCCATTCTGGTTCATGTGGGTGACGAGTGGACACCCTGTCGGTCACACTAGACCTGCTCCGTTAGACCTGCTTGGGATGGGAGCGTTAAGCTTCAACTGTTAGGTCACTAGAAGTTCTCTCGTAAAACGAGACGCACATTTATACCTGTTAAAATACAAGAGTGATGATTGTGTCTGCAATAAAAATACTTGTGAACATTTGCAGAGAGCAAAACACACATTTAGTGAAGTATCCTGAACCACTGCTCGCTTTATGTGATTCCTGCTGAACAGGAGACATTCAGAAATAATCCTGCATACATTTGAAACGATCACTTCTAGAGTGAGATGTGTGGATCGGGAGTTATGACAGACACTCAGGTTGGACCACAAGGCCACAGGGAAGTGTTTTGATCTGCATTAGTGGCCCATTATTTCATTGTTCAGGAAACATCTCAGTGCTGCATGCTGCTGTAGCATCACATCAGACTGGTTAGTGTTAGCTGCAGACTCTGAGTCCTCATGTTCCACTTTATGATCAGTGCACAGCAGCTTTCAGCCACAGCTGGAATGTGGACCACGAGGACGCTGGCATTTCTAATTAAGAGGCTGAGCGCCACTCAGATCAGGGATTCACTGTCCTGTATGGTGGAGATCTTTCAGGGAACTCGCATCTCGTACAGGCCTCATTTCCTAGAAAGTGAAAGCGCCTGTCTCACCTCACTCAT